GAAGAGAACAAGACAAAGAAATGCCACAGATTTCCTCGAAACTTTGCGAAGTGAAATTGCCAGCAAATATCATGACGATCCGATCTTTATCTCCACCGATTTCTGGTAGCTGCTTCTTCTTCACACTGTTGGTGACAAGCTTACAATTATGCAGTTATTTTGTGTTTTCGACTAGAACTGTTGTAATGTGCCTTACCACTTTTACACCCTGTTGCAAATGTCATAACCTGTGTTGCCAGCTTCTAGAACACAAAGATTTAATGTTGATAAGCTGTCAAATAATCAAAAGGCAGGGACATAATAGCGGGCATCTTTGGTAACCGATTTGCGTGTAAGCACAAAGATCAGACTTATGTGTACGAACCCGGATAATGAAGAGCACCAGAGACTGCTATTTTTTGGAGGTTGTGCACTATAGCTGGTTAGGCTAAAACAGGCCCTTTTTTGTTCGCATTTCACAATTCACCGATTTCTGTGGGTTACGCCATCCTAATCAATTCGAAGGCACTATCTTCGAAGCCAGTTTTAGGATAACCTCATTACTATTAGCAATGATAGTTCACTTTTTACTATTCCCTCACGCATCCTAAACTTGGTCATGACGCCTAAATGGTGCTCAAAATATATCACAAAGAAAGCTGCATTAGGAACACCATGTCCTGCGTATCCTCGTTAACAACGACTGAAGGTCACGATGGGACACTGCAACGCGTGCTTCCACAGACAGCGCAATTTATTTCTCCATTCCTGTACAAACCAGCACAGGACACTGGGTCTCTGCCCAAGTTAACAGAGCAAATTTTTCCATTTCTCTCTTAAAATCAAAACATACAGTAACTTCGTGTTAGTAGTTACGGTAATGCAATCACGCCAGTAGATGGCACGATGTTAGTCCTTCGTGGACTAGTTAAATGACATAGAGGTGTATGCGAAATCCTATGTCCCTAGTGAGGATGAAGGTTTTGTCGCAACATGGAGTTTTGCCAATACTTTATGAACTGAGCATTAAATGCATCCTGTCTTACGGATTTGGGCGAGCTGCCTTCACAAGTGTGAGGGTGTGTATTTTCATGACATGAGACATTTTGCCCTATTGTTTAATTG